ATATGATGATTGAAATTGTTATTGGTTGTTGGCAGTTCATGTTTGGTCTTAATTGGAGTTCGTATTAGTTGTTTGCAGTTCATGTCTACATGAACTGTTGTTTTCATCTCCAATTAATAATTGCTATTAATGTCTTTTAAATTGTACTTAAGCAGTTTTGATTAAGCTACTTTTTTTACACTTTGAAGCATGTATGTTGCAAAAGACATTTATTTGCAATTTAGTTTTCACTTTGAAACTATTTTGTAATGTAATGCTGGTTGTATGTTGACGTTCTTGAGTTGCGAATTATGTTGCTAGCAATTAGGTTTACATTGTACTATAATCCTCATAAATTGGACTTTAGATTAGTTTTTCTCTTTTTACACATGTTTGCAATCAGTTTTCTATTTGCATTTTTCAGATTATTTTGCAAATCTTGTTTGAACTTGCGTATGTTGTTTGTTGTTTGCAATCACAATTCTTTTTTGCTATTTTTCCTTAACTTTGCAATTAGTAGGTCGTGGTTAAAGTTTGCAATTTTTTTTTGTAGGTTCAAGATTGTACATTATATCCTGCCGTGAGAGTGTTTCAACCCATACATGCCTGGGTAAAAAAGAAAGAAGATAATTTTCGGTTAATGCCGCCGACATGGAAAAGTTCCTCGATAGTGCCAGTGCCAGTGGTCAAAAATTATTGTTTAATGCTTTACATTTATTTTTCTCTTTGAATTTTAATTTATTGTTTGCATCATGATTTATTGTGAAAATATTACACTTTTTAGAGTTTTGTTGCACATCATGTAATATTGTTATAATTTATTTTTTCTATTTCAAATGGAAATTTGTATTTTTTATTTTTTACTGTAAACATATTTTGTCGTTTTAAATAACTTTGGTAGTTTACAGTTTACAGTTTGCACTTCATTTTTTATTATTTTTCGTGTACAATTTGCCTTCACAGTTTGTATTTGCAGTTTGTAATTAGTGGTTGTTAATGTTAGCAACTATTACATTTGTTGTTTTGTATCGTTGCAGTTTTCTATTTTATGTTGCAAATTTATTATGTTGTTCAAATTTTTTATTTTGTTGTTTGTTCAAGTATAACTGATAAGAAAACGCAAACAAAAAAATGCAATATTGTCGAGAACATACAAAATAACAATTAAAATCCAACACATATGATCTCAAGAAAATTAATAATTGAAAGATTGCTATAAAAATACTTATGTAAAAAATATTAAATATTTTTATAAAGTAATAAATAATTAATTTTCAAATTTTGTTGCCTTGAGAGAGAGGGTGAAATACGTGTGTGATAGAGAAGGGATGAGAAAGAGATGTGTGTAGGTGTGATGAGATGGGAGATGTGTTTGACCGTGTAGAAAGGAGAGAGAGTGAGAGATTTGTGGGATTTGTTCCCTTAATTTCTAAAATAACTATTTACATATAAATATTAATTGGGGGCATCTATGTCTATACACTAATAATTTAATTTAATATAATTGATTAAGGACCTACACCTATATTCATCTAATAGATTGGATCTCCACCTATATAAGTCTAGAATAAGGGGTGTCTAGCCAATTTCCCCATATATATATATATATATATATATATATATATATATATATATATATATATATATATATATATAGGTATATATATTTGTTGAATTGCCATTTGTTATTATGTTAGCCTTAAAATGGTTAGAAAAATTGGATACTATGAAACAATATTAAAAAAATTCAGAAATTAGAAAGGTTAATAAAGCTTAACTTTTCATGGGCATATGGAAAATGTAAAAGGAGCCCCAATTAATTTTGATGGGTATTTTTATTTTTAATTCTAAATTGGTGCAGGAAGAAATGTCGTATTCTCGAGCATTTTGGGTCAGCAAAGAAACAATTGCTTGGAATGTGGATGCTGGAAACGGTTCGTATTTCCTAATCGGCAGTAAAAATGCTAATTTTTCGGTGAAAAAAAAAATTTAATATTATTCGTTTGAATTTAATCGAGATTAAATTTTCAGTTTTAATGACCGGATTCGAGATGCAATGATCGGTGGATCTCCGTTTGGACATCCACTTCAACAAGGTTTCATTACACGTTTGTCTTTGGAGGTAACACTTAACTTTTTCGTCTAATTAAAAATTGCTATAATTTACTCTAGTTAAAATTTCCTAAAAAAAATTGAAGCATTTTTTAAAAATTAATTTTGATAATATACGAGTATTAAATTCAGTCGATTTAACTGTTACTTTACTTCTTCAGCCGAATGATCACGACCATGGGAGTAATTCCGATGTGGAGCATACTCTCGCCGTTTCAAACGATCATATTCAGGTACTTCTAGAATCATCCACCAGTATTTTTTTTTAATTTTAAATCAATAGCTTAAATAAAAATAAAATTTAATTACATGATACTCTAGACACAATTTTTCACTATTTAATGTGCAATGCAGGTTGCAATGGCTGCTAATCTGAAGGACTTTGTCCTAACCAACCACGAGGGTAAAGTGGTAATATTGACATGCCACTCTAAATAACGAACATGTGATTTATCGATCATTTTCTTATTATTAATCAAAATATTAGTTTCAGACATTATTATATATGATATAAAATCACCCTTCGGTGTCCTCGACCCTACTCCTGGTTATTATAACCAGGTGATTCTCCTTGCGACACCTGTCCTTTTTATTATTATTAGTTTTTATCTTTTTTAATAATTCAATTTTTTCCTTTCAAACCGTCATTCCTAAACTAGAGTTAGCTTTGACTAGATTAATATTAAAAGAATCCCACTAATTAAGGTAATTAGTTAGATTTTCTCTCTCTTTACACTCACGTTCGGTTCTCACGTTCATCTTTTCTTTCTCAAGAAGTCTGTATTTTTCCTCCATTGAAGCATCAACATCTCCATTTGAAGAACTTCATTACAGGTTTGCATGAATGTGATATATATATATATATATATATATATATTTGAAGCTTGTAAAAATAACTATCTATGAATTGTCTTGATAAATAGCAGAATTGTATCTCGATTGTAATATAATGTGATCACTACACTGTGTTTGAAGTTTTGTAATTTGTTTTTTTTTTGTTTTATTACATTCATTATTTATAGACATGGATGAAAATTGCTATTCAGAAAAGTCTCCCGTACAATTGTCAGAATCACAACAAACAGAGGTATGTAACGAGTCCTTGGTAGAAGAATTCGAACGTAGATTAACAGTTGGTCAGAAAATAGCAAGCCTTGAAGATGCATATCTATTATACTGTGAATATGGACGTATCAAAGGTTTTAGTGCGAGAAAAGGAAAACAAGCATATTTTCATGATAACAGTAGAGAACTTTATATGAAGGAGTTTGAGTGTTCTTGTAAAGGAACCAAGGATGAAAAAAGCAGTGTTAAAAATAGACAGTCAATCTACTTGAAGATAGAAACAAGATTTGGTTGTACAGCAAGACTTAGAATTGGGCGGAAAAAGAATGAGGAGTGGGTAGTGACTATTTTTAATATTGAGCATAATCACGATATGGTGACACCCGACCAAAGTTATATGTTAAGATCAGCCCGTAGTATTTCATATGCAAAAGGAAATACATTAAAAGCATTGGTAGATGCTGGATTTTCGATAGCTAATGCATATTCGTACATGGAAAAAGAATCACATGGAAGAGAAAATGTGGGTTTTCTTAAAAAAGATGCATATGATTACTTTAATCGTTTAACAAAAGACTATAGACAAGTTGAAGATGGTGATGCTGCTGAATTGATTCGTTATTTTAAGAATAAATCGAATGATGATGCATTATTTTATTGGGATTTTCAAATTGATGAAGATAGTAGGATGTGCAACTTTTTTTATCGAGATGGTCGATGTCGGATTGATTATGAGGCTTTCGGTGATGTTCTTTCAATTGATACAACTTATAAAACTAATAAATATAATTTGGTTTGCGCACCTTTCACAGGTATTAATCATCATACGAATAATGTGATGTTTGGTATGGCTTTTATGTCTCGTGAAACAGAATCTTCTTTTCAATGGTTGTTTAGTACATTCCTTGAGTCTATGGGTGGTAAACAACCTGAAACTATTTTCACAGATCAATGCCAAGCAATGATTAATGCAATTGAGACTGTATTTCCAGATTCACACCATCGGTTGTGTCAATGGCATATCTATCAGAATGCTCCGTCGCATTTTGGGAGTTTGAATAACAATTCCGAGTTCAAGAATATGTTTCATAGGTGTATGGAATTTTGTGAATCGGAAGAAGAGTTTGACGATATATGGACTAAAATGATTGCTGGTTTTAATCTTTATGATCATTCGTGGTTAAATAATATGTATAAGTTGAGAAGTAAATGGTCTACTGCTTTTAGTAAACACAGATTCAGCGCAGGGCTTAAAGCTACATCGAGAAGCGAGGGCACAAACTCTACTTTGAAAATGGGTGGTAAAAGAACACATACTTTGTACGATTGTGTTGTTAGATTTGAAAATGTTCAAAATACATGGCGTCAAGATGAAAAGGAAAATGACTTTAGAAATCGTCATGGGGCGCCTACTCTTGCTGTAAAATCTAACTGTTTGTTAAAAGAAGCTGCTGCAGTTTACACTCACACAATATACTATATGTTCCAGTCAGAACTAATTAATTCTTTGGGCATTTATTTTGATGGAGATCCTATACAAAGTGATACTTTAATTAAGTTTAAAGTAAGTTCGCAAGGTAATTCAAATTGTGTTCAAGAAGTTGAATTTGATTCGAGGTCACATGGAATAAAATGTACATGTCGGCTATTTGAGTCTCTTGGTATATTATGCAAGCATGCTTTATTAGTTTTCAAACAAATGAATGTGCACACAATACCTATCAGGTACATAAAAGTTAGATGGACAAAAAATATAAGAGACAGAGTGCATTTCAGTGAAGAAAATTCTCGTGTAGATAATAATGAATCTGAAACAGTCTATGTGAATCATGCAATGAGGTTGTGCTATGATCTGATGATGCGAAGTAAAGTTCATCAAGAAGCGAGAAATTTAGTGAGAACGGGGCTTGAAGGTGTTTTTTCGGATCTAAATGATTTACTCGATAGGCTGAGTTTGGATAAGTCGGTTATTGATGATACTGTTTTACAGTGTTCAAATGTTAGGGAATTTGATATGGTGAAAGCAAATAATGTTATAAATGATGAGCATGTGCGTAATCCTCTTTATGTAAAGTCAAGAGGAGTGAATAATGTTCGTTTGCCGAGTCATTGGGATTCAAAAAGTAAGAAAGGAAAAGGAAAACTTGAATCTACAAGTAAGTTTTCATGATAGATTCACAAATAAATTATACTCTGGTTTGCAACTAAAAATATCTAATTTTGTTTTAATTTTCAATTTTGCAGGGACAGTAACAAAAGGAAAACATAAAAAGGTGCAGCCTTCCCGACTAACAGTAAATATACCTCTACCAGAAAAAGGTATAAATGTTCTTCCATCTCAACTAGTAATTACTAATTTGTAATTGGTAATATGCTAATGTTTATAATTTTTAAGATATATCAAATGGCCTTTCTTCTGGAGGATATCATGCAGATTGCTTTTATCACATGACAAATCCGACAATTCACGTGGTGAGTTATTAATTTATTCCTCAATATATATATATATATATATATATATATATATATATATATATATATATATATATATATATATATATATATATATGACTTCTTATGCTATATGTTATGAATATGCAGGGACAAGGCTCAGATTTTTGTTTGAGTCAACCTTCTCCGAGTATGTTCAAATATTTCGGTTCTAATTTATCACAGGTATTTATTGTAAAATTATGCTACTCTGATAATATTAATTGAAATTTTCACGGTTTTTATTGGTTGTGTTCAATTTTGGCAGGAATCTGCTACTAGTATGGAGAAGCCACCTAATCATTCCTAGGAAATCTAGGATATTTTCGTATACTACATTTTAATTAATATAGATTAGTTGAATTTCAGTTTGAAAATTTTCAAATGTGCCATTTTACTGGTTTGTACTTTGTAGTGGAAATACATCAATTTTTGACTTCAACAGCTTAATGAATTTAGAAGTTCTATTTATTAGCTCTAATAGAGAAACAACTTTCTTCCTGTTTTTTCAATTAAAAATATGTGTGAACCAGTGGAGTCAAACATACATTTTTTCTCCAAACCAAATACTTAGTTTCAATGCACAAATTCCTTTCATGTTTGTGATATACGGATGAAAATATGTTACACATTCTCCATACATAAAGAAGTACAATTTTTTTCAATATAAATGATCAAAACTGAACATACACCTGCAAAGATAATTATACTTATACTTTACTTGTGATAATCTGTTGTACTACAAGAAAATAGAACAAAGTATTGTCGGAACACTTTTTGATAGTTTACACATTGCGATAAAAGTTTTCAGTTTGAAGTCGAACAAAGTAGAAATCAGTTTTCAGTTTGAAGTCGAACAAAGTAGAAAGCTTTGTACAGAGGTTGAACAACTGAGAGTCATCCGGCACAGGACTTTCGTCAAAATCTCCAATTGCTAAAACAGTCTCAAGTTGAGCATCAGCTTCGTCGTAAAATAGGAATACAGAGTCATCCTCTACATCCTTACAAATCATCCAAGTGGATTTTAAGATTCACTTCCAAACCAATGGTCTCTTCAATTGCAAAACACCAATAAAAACACTAATTCCAACAAAAAGGATATCGAAGCCGAAAAACAGCATTGAAAGTTTTTCATTATACCACAATCCGTAAACATTTTTCTGAAATTGACAGAGTAAACGAAAATTCATAAACTAAAATTCAATAATTATATGCTATCGAGGTCCCCAAATCTAATTCTAACAAAAAAAAAATCAATTGTACTTGTGATGAAATTCGTCCTTCCTCTAAAAACAATGATGAAATTCTTCCTCTCGAACATATTTAATTGCTCATGTGCACATTTAATTGCGTCTCTTTTAAAAAAGCAGGTTTCGTATATTAAAAAAATGGTGAAGAACGGTGATGTAGTGGAGAGAGAATCCTAATATTTAACTATGGTTTATGAATGACGGTTTAATTTGAAAGGAAAATATTTAATTATTAAAAAAGGTAAAAACTAATAATAATAAAAAGGACAGGTGTCGCAAGGAGAATCACCTGGTTATAATAACCAGGAGTAGGGTCGAGGACACCGTCGAGGACACCCATGCTGGGGACGACATTCTTCGATCAAAGTCATTAGATCGTGACTCGTACAATTCCGGTGATTGGTTCAACAGGTAAACTCGTTTACACTGATTTTAATTTAAATTTAAATCCCCTGAATAAATTATTTAAAAATTGTATAATTATTTCGGTTTCGATACTTTTACGCTACAACTCGAATAATTGGGGCGTCGGTCTTCCTCCAAGAGAAAAGAACGAAAGACATTGGCCACTGTAAGCATCATTAATATTAAATTAAACGGTCACTATTTAACTATATTTCAAAAAAACAATTATTTTGTAGTTCTATTTTCTAACTTTTTTTTTATTTTTTTATTTTTTCTTTCTCAGAATGAAAACAATCTTGCAGCACTCGAACTGTTGCTTTATTTACCTTTTTTTTTTTTTTTCTTTTTATATATATATATAATATATATATTGGGAACGTAAAAAAAAACAGTCCTACTTTCACTACAATTAGATATCTATTTTTTCTCCCTATATATACAGACATATAGTTACAACTATCGGTCATATATATTCTGTCTACAACTCCCTCCCTGAAAAGTGAAATCTCGATATATATTCTTTCTCCTTTATCCATATATATATTTTTCTCCGCCGCCATGGATTCAAAGAAAAACATAAAAATCAACGACGACTTGCTCTTTCTCCTTTCTCCATATATATTTTTTCTCCTTTCTCCATATATATTTTTTCTCCCTCTATATACATTCTTTCTGCTTTCTCCATATATATTTTTTCTCCCTCGATATACATTCTTTCTCCTTTCTCCATATATATATTTTTTCTCCGCCGCCATGGATTCAAAGAAAAACATAAAAATCAACGACGACTTGTTGAGGGAGATACTCGTCCATCTGCCTCCAAAAACCCTTTTCAAGTTCATGACCGTCTCCAAGAAGTGGAAATTTATCATCAACGATCCTACCTTTCTTGAGTTCCACAGCAACAAACAACGCGGCCGTTCCTCCGCCGTCGCCGGAGACGACGGCGGCCGTCTGCTGGCACTGTTCCAATTAACAACCAAACACTTGTCCGGTAGATACCGCCGCCGTCCTTCGGAACCCGCAATGAACATACTTGCCGTTTTTCCCGACGGAAACCCCGAAATAATGTGCGTCGAAAAGGAACTAGGATACTTCATCAACTCCTCCGAGGGTTTAGTCCTGTGCGGCCGCCACTCGTCCAAGTACCACGTCATGAACCCGGTGACCAAAAAGTGGGTCCCACTGCCACCGCCGCCACGTCATCGTCTAGACCAACAATACTACCGTGATTGGACAATCGGATTGATGGTCACCGCGTGGGAGGGGGACAACAGCTACATAGTCGTTCGAGCTGCCTTGACGGATGATCTCGACCAACTATTGCCCATCGAGACCTACTCGTCCAAGACGGGCGAGTGGGTCCCGTCGACGCTCGTTGGCACGGGGGAATTCGTCCTGCACCCCTTGCCCGGGGCCCCGTTGGTGGCGAATGGCGTTTTCCACTGGTACACGTACAATTGGCAGATTGCACTTTACGACCCTAGCGATGAAACGGGCCACGTCCAATTGATCAAGATCCCGTATTTGGATGGTGCGGTTTCACGAGCTATAACAAGGTCGTCTGTCGACAACACATTATGGTTTGGAACAATCAACCCCGACAAAATCCAAATCTATAAACTGCCCAAGCGTGAAGAAGAAGATGGTAGAATGAGTTACAAGCGAAAAAAAACGATACCTTGCCGTGAATGGGAGCTGGTCCACGATATCGACATTGAATCGTTGGGCGTGTTTTTTCATGTTCCGGATCCCGAGAAGAATCGGATGGATAGGATACGATTGGAGTGCTTCGTGCCGGATTGGTATCCACTTGTGCTTGTACTTCGACAAGCAGAAAAGATTTTTCTCTACAATTTGGGTAGTAATACTGTTGAGTGGGTTCCATATTATGGATGTCCCTATAATCACCTAGTACATGAGGAATACTTGTGTCCTTATCTCGAGTCTTCTTGCTTATCTTCATATTTTCTTTGAGATTTTGATTAGGATCTTAGGTTTTTTATCTTCATATTTTCTTTGAGATTTTGATTAGGATCTTAGGTTTTTTATCTTCATATTTTCTTTGAGATTTTGATTAGGATCTTAGGTTTTGAATAATACGAGTTTTTTCGCATTTCAATAATGAAAAAAAAGCAATTTTACTAAATTTATTCTTTTCGTCTTTTTTTTTTTTTTTTTTTGTGGAAATTATCTATAAGGTCATAAGGACCAATTTATTAACGAACAAGTACATACAATAATGTTTGGATAATTACAAACATTCCTCTCAACTATAGGTTTTCTTATATATTCATCCTTATGGTGTGAGATTTAGTAGAATGTTCTAAATTGTAGACAATTTTTATAATGCTATTATAATTTCTGCTCATATGTAAAAGCAATGGTGCATGTAACTCATAATCGACTTGCAGTTTGTATGTTTTGTTATGTTATAGCCAGTAACTGCTCTATCTAAGCATTTTCTATTGTTGGACAGCTAATCTTGCGTTGTAACCATTTTCGTTTGAGCTTGATGTTGAGAGATGAAACAGCACGATGCCTCTTATTCAAGGTGTTCTTTGCTTATGGCTTCCAAAGGTTGAGTCGTGGTGCAGGTGACTCTCTTCTATTTTCCTGTAATTTTCTCTTTTTTGTGTTCACCCAATCTAATTTTATTACTTTCTTCATTCGCAACCACTGTTTCCTTTCTTTTTTTGTTTCTTCGTGTTTTCTATATTCAATTACAGGTTAGCCCTTTTTTGGTGTTTTGGCTTCGGTTTGCTGTTGCTCTCTCTGATCGTATACAGGTTTGCTGCTTGTTCAAGAATTATATTGATGTCTTCCATTGAAGTTTACTTCTTATAGCTGATTTTATTCGGCCGAGTGAATTCTCAGCTGGAGTTGAGTTCGTCCACGTCTGTAGACAGCGCCACTCTGACGAGTATAGCTTTGCGCTTCCGACGACTTTGTTTGACGTTGGACTTCTCTATATTACTTTGATTTATGCCTCTTATATTTGTATTTTTCCTTACGATTTACTTCTTGTACATTATCCTTCAAAATTTTCGGTCCCTCTCTCCACCACCGCCTTATTTCCCGGCCTCCGTCGACTGGACACACGAGGCTCAAATTCCGGCGGTTTTCGATTTGTGTTCTCATATTTTCCAATTTTCTCTGCGCATATTGGTGCTTTAGGGAAGTGGATGAATCGCTGCTCGATCTCAAAAGGCCTTCCCTATTTCCTTCTATGATTGTAATCGCTGCTCGATCGCAAAAAGCCCTCCCTCTCTTCTATGAATATTTGTTTTCGTAGTTGGGGCTATTAGGTCTTTAATTTAAGCAACCTGGATCGTATAATTGCATTTTCAGAACTTTTGAATGCAACAAAATCAGGTGAGGAATCACACGTTCACCTCATATTCATTCTCTGTTTTCCCATTTATTATTTTCTTCTTGTTTTTCAATTTCCTATACATCAGATTACAAAAAGATTTCAAGCACTTGAAGGTATTCACAACTTTATGTATGCAGACACTTGTAATCCAATCTTTCTCGTATTTTCATACCTCTTGGTAAAATTGAAAACCAAAAATTTGATTGTACGTCGCATAATTTTTTGAATTGTCTATCATGTTCGTGGCGTACGTTTAAGTTTTGTTTTTAGGTTTGTACT